GTAACGGATTGGATTCCTAAACAAACACAACCGCAGCCAAACCCTAAACCCTAAACCCTAGTCCCTAAACGCTAAACCCTCGGCAGTCTGAAGCTACCGAAGGTACCGCTGCTGTTGCTGTTGCTGCTGCTGCTGCTGCTGCACTAGACGTGCATGCCTGTGTAGCAGCACCTGTGCAATTTGCTGCGCCATCTCTGCATGCTTAATTAGCAGCAAAGGATCTTCGCGTAGCTTCCGTAGTCTGTCTTGCGTAGGCATCAGTACAGCCGAACTCTCTGCAGCAACAGCAGCAGCAACAACAACAGAAAGAGCAGCAAAGAGTAGCAGCAACAACAATTAGCAGCAGCAGCAGAACAGGGAGGAGAATCAACTTTGCCACACGCGACAAAAAAGGAACGAAAGCGTACACCAGCAGAAAAGCTGCAACGTGCATGCAGCAGCAGCAGCAGCAATAGCAGCAGCAGCATTACTTAGAGTAGATGCAGCAACTCTTTCTTCTAGGGATTCATCGGCCTTAGGAGCAGCATCAGGGATTGGCTTCCCTAAGAGAAATGCCTCCTGCATAAGAAAAGAAAAAAACAACACAACTGCTGCTGCTGCTGCTGCTGCTGTTGCTGTTGCTGCTGCTGTTGCTGTTGCTGCTGAGGCGGCGGCTTGTAAAGGAGGACGTACCCTCTCTCTTTCCTTAGCCTCTTGGCTGTTCTTAGGGTCTTCATAAAGCCACTCTAAGCCTGCAGCAGCAACTTGCGCTTGTGTCTTTGTTAGTAGACCTGCTTGCGCCTGCATGCATGCATGCAACAACAAATAAACTATAATCAATCCTGTTCCCCTACTGCTGTTACTGCTGCTGTTCTTGCTGCTGTTGCTGCTGCTGCTGCTGCTGCGGATACTTACTTGCAGCTGTCTCATCTCCAGATGAGCTCTTTGCCGCTGCAGCTCAGCAAGACGGCTGTGTTCCTCTGAGGAAAGCTTGCCATCTGCTTCTTGCTGCATTTGCTGCTGCGCTGTCTGATTGGCTGCTTCTACAGCCTTTCTTAGTTGAAAAGGCAACATGATGGCGATTAAAGAGAAGAAAACACGAAAGAAGAAAAGATTCCCTACAAATAGACATGCAACCCCCAGCTGCGGCGATATCTGAGGTGTACGTACACCTCAGCGGTCCGACGATGATCGACGTAAGCCGATGATATACCCGTCAGTTCAACTTGAACACGGAAAAATGGGGGAAACGCGAATCAAATATATTCCCCTTTTGCATTCATTGTTGTGAATTCTTGAAGGAAAGTAGAGAAAAGGACTAAATAAAGTTGAATTTTCCCTTTTTAATTGCGTCTTTTTACCTTTTTCTGCAGGTTACCAGGAAAGCTGAATCGATCAATATAAGAACTCAAGAACAACGGAGGGTGAGACCCTCACGCTACCTGCTTTCCCCGTTTCAACGCGAATTCGTCAAGAATAGTAAAAATAAAATACAAAGAAATACAAAAAAACAAAAGTTTCAGCATTTTTATGCATCAATTGGCCCATTACACATTGCATGCAGCCCTGTTGCCTCCCTCACTAATGCTTACCTACCGGCTACTTTCCTGTATAACGGACCTAGAAACAACTGATTTAAATTGAGTTTATCTAATTATTCATTAGTCTTAATTTTCTTTTCATTGAATAAGGTCATTTATCGCCAAATTCATGACGACAACGAGAAATAAGTCCTGCACGCAGACCCCCGTGACAACAGAAGTTGTAACTTCCTCGTAAACAATATCTTATATAAACCAAATGTGTGGTGGTAGTTCTTCTGCATCTGCAGGTGCGCCTGACGAAGAAGAAGGGGATTGCTCATCCCCTTCTTTGGCACCAACAGCTTCTTCCGCCCCCCTAAGTACTTCTGCTGCTGCTTCACCAGCAGCAACAACTACTGCACCAGCAGCCGCAGAAGCAGCAATGCATGCAGATGCAGCAGCAGCATCTGAAGAATGTACAGCAGAAAGTCTTGAAGAATTATGGAGGATTCAACTGCATGCAAATGCTGAGGCAGAAAAAGAAGACGATCTCTACTCTCTCGATGCATGCGACGCATCGGGTGGCTTCTGTTTAGAACCCGATGAACAGCAGCAGGAGCAGCAGCAGGAGAAGCAGCAGGAGCAGCAGCAGGAGCAGCAGCAGGAGAGTGACGTGGAAATACAGCTTTGCCAGGGAGAAAAAGAATCCCCTGGTGCAGTTAGTGGCTCTGTTGCTGCCTCTGAGCCGAGCCCGCAGCAGCAGCAGCAGCAACAGCAACAGCAACAGCAGCAGCAGCTATTAGACCAACAGCAGCAGCAGGAGAATGGTGGTGCTGCTGAAGCAGCAGCAACAGGAAACAGCGACCTTGCTGCCATATTAGATGACGACTCTCTATTTACATGCGATGTACCGAACAGCAGATCTGCTGCTGCTGCTCCTCCTGCTGCTGCAGCTGCAGCTGCTACTGCTGCTGCTGCAGTTGATGGTTGTAATTACAGTTCTTTATTAACAGGTCGTCGTAAGGGTATAGGAGGAGCAGCAGGAGGAGGTTCTGCTGCTGCTGCTGCTGATGATGATGATGGTTTGCCTGTATGGTGTTCGCAGCAGCAAGCAGCAGCAAGATATTGTTTATCTGAGCAACTACTACGTGAGGAAGCAGCAGCAGGAAGAATAAAAGTAAGAGAAAAAATAAATCCTCATGGTGTATATTATAGACCTATGCGCTTATATTTAATTAAAGAAATAAAACAATTAGCTATTAATATATATGGATCTATTGATGCTATTGAACAAGAAAAAGAAAAAAGAATTGAAGATAAATGGATACGAAAAAAAAAAAGAAATTGTCTTTCTTCTTCTTCTTCTTCTTCTTCTTCTGCTGCTGCTGCTGCTGGTGCTGGTGCTGGTTGTGATGCAGCAATAGCAACAGATACAGCAGCAGCAGCAACAGGAATAAAGAAAAAAACAAAAAAATGTACATCTAATGATATAACTAGTACTACTAATATAACAAATAGACAACTTGCTGCTCAACCTGTACTACCAGCTGTAGCCACAGAAGTACAATGGGAAGAAATATAATATATTCATATTCAAATATATTTCTGCTGCAGCTGCTGCAGCAGTTGCTGCTGCTACTGCAGAAACAGCAGCAAATGTCCGTATCGATGAGGATACACAGGATGTAGGGAAGGTGAGGAAATATTTATCTTTCTTTCTTGTTGTTTTAATTTGACTTTTTAGTATTCACTAGTCCATATGTACCCCTATATGTATAAGGAAGAAATTGCATGCACAGGATGCATGCATGCACTCCTTTATTGAGTTTTCCTCTTTAATAAAGGTATGTTTCCTCATTAGTAAAGGAGTATTTCTTTTTTAGGTTTACTGATTTAATGCAGTCTGCACTACAGATTGTTTTCTTCTGTTGAGGTGTACGTACACCTCAACAGTACAGGCGGGAGTAGACGAAGGAGATGATCCTCCTCGTCTTCCCTTTGAATGAACTTAAAATAAAAAACATTTTTTAATGTATTTAAATTATATTTGTTTTTTCTAATTAATTCATAGAAAAAATAATGAAGAACTTTGTTTCCTTCTCCTAGATCACATGCATACATACATCATCTTTACACCCTGAGGTGTATATGCAGGTCGATACGAAGAATGCCTGCACAAGGATCAGTTGTTAAGAACATTTTACTTCTTCTTCTTTAGGTTTGATGAATTAGATCAATTATAATTTATTTTATTCAAAATGTTTTAATTCAAACTTTCCTTTTTATTATAGCTTTCCTCATAAACACCGGAGGATCGGGGTGTTAGTGTTGATGATTGTTGTTGCGGCTGTTTCTGTGATGTGTGTATGCGTGTGCGCGCTTCTCTATGAATTATTCGTTAATTTTTGATTACTGTTCTGCTTTTTAAATGTAAAATATCTTTATTATTTATATGCATGCATTTATTATTCTTTTTTTGTATAGCAGCAGCAGTAAGCTGCTGCACAACACCGTTGCCGTCGACGTCGGCAGCAGCAGCAGCAGCAGCAGCAGCCGCTGATCTCGAGTCAATGGGAGATTGAGTCGCATAAGGGGCCCTGTTCTTTCTTTGTAGTAAGTTTACGTTATTTTATTTGTTGTTTGTTGATTTATATATTCATTTTTAGGGTTTATTCAATGTATCATGCATGCATGCGAAAGAAGAACTTCTTCAACAGATCAGCAGCAGCAGCAACAACAGCAGCAGCAGCAGCAACAACAACAACAACGAAGAGGAGCAGCAATAAACAGGATTCTTCTATAGATGTTGAATTGACGTCTTTTTCTTCTTTTTCTTATTCTTTATTGCCTGATGTTATAACATCTTATTGCCAACTACTCCTCTCTGTATGACCAATTACTCCTTATTTATCCCTCTATATAACATACAACTAATATATAAACAAAAGAAAGAAATAAAAAAAAGAAAGAAAACAAATAAAGAAATAAACAAAGGATTAAATAAATACAAATAAAGTATAAAGAAGAAAAGAAGGCAGCAAAACAAAGAACCAATCAAACAAAAGAACAAAGTATATAAACAAGGAGATAAACAAACAAACAAAATAAATAAACTAAATAAATAAGTAAATAAATAAATAAATAAATAAAGAAGAGAGGATGGAGGAGAATATAAATTGTGGTTGTTTATCTCTTCATCATTTTTGTGTTTGTAGAGAAAATGACGGAGATGATTCATCTATAGAGGCAGCAATAGCTGCATGCAGAGCAGCAGCACATAGAGCAGCAGCAGCAGCAGAAGGAAGAAGAGAGAAGAAGACATTATCATGTGCAGGAATACAATGTGATTTATTAATAGATAATAAAGAAAAAGAAGAAGAAAAAATAATAATAGATAAAAAAGAAGAAATAAATAATAATAAAGAAAAAGAAACAATAAAAGGAGAATTAAATATACAAGGAAATATTCTTCTTGCTAATGATTGGGATCTTATTGATGATGATGTACGTTTCTATCATTATCCTCTTCTTAATCTTAATTGTTGTGGTACTCATCAACATAGACAGCAGCAGCAGCAGCAGCAAATGCAGCAAATGCAGCAGCAGCAGCAAATGATTATGATGCAGCAGCAGCAGCAGCAGCAGCAGCACAATCTACATCCACATATTTATAGAAATAGAATACCTAGAAGGTTATTAAAGAAAGGAGGGAGACATCAGCAGCAGCAGCAACAGCAACAGCAGCAACAGCAACAGCAGCAGCAGCAGCAGAAATTGTTGCAGCAGCAGAGACATAAATTAATGTTACAACGTATACCTAAACATAGAGAAGCATTTCCTGTATTAAACAAAGAAATAAATAATGAGGTGTATATACACCTCAATAATAGAGTAAGACAAACTTATGATCATGCACATTCATTACCTCTACATAAAGATGATAGTTATCTTAGGCTGCATGCAAGGATACCGCACCATCAGCGACAGCAGCAGCAGCAGCAACAGCAGCAGCAGCAGCAACAAGGGCAGGGGTGTGGAGCAGCAGTAAGAGGAGGAGGAGGAGGAGGAGGAGGAGGAAATAAGAAATATCCTATGAAGGGTTGCTGCTCTGCATCAGCATTTATTCAGGGACCTCTATGTGCATGCACACGTATTGCACCTAAACCTTCTTGCTGCAGCAGCGGATGCTGCAGCAGCAGCAGCAACAGCAACAGCAGCAGCAGCAGTAGCAGTAGCAGCTGTAGTGGTAGTGGGAGCTGCTGCTCTTCTTCATCTCCTCCTCAGCCTCCTCTATGGAGTGTACGTACACCACATATTCTACCTCCAAACCCTACAACAGCAGCAGCAACAGGTGCAACAGCAGCAACAGCAGCAGCAACAGCAGCAGCAACAGCAGCAGCAGCAGGTAATATCTATCCAGCATATCAATACCATCATCATCATCCTCTTTATTATCCAACAGCAGCAACAGCAGCAACAGCAGCAGCAGCACCTCAGCAGCATATGCATGCACCTGTTTATGGGGCTGTACCTATGGCTATGCCACAGATGGGGGCCCCCAATGCTACCCCTGTAGGGTGGGTACCAATGGGGGCCCCCATGGGGGCCCCCATGGGGGCCCCTATGGGGGCCCCTATGGGGGCCCCTATGGGGGCCCCTTATGGGGGTGGAGGAGGAATGATTAGCTTTCCTTTGCCTCCCTTACAATGTGGAGATATTTTTTAAGTTCTTCCCTTCCTTACTCGTTGCTGCTGCAGCAGCAGCAACGACACAAGCAGCAGCAGCAGCTGCAGCAGGAGCAGCAGCTGCTGCTGCTGCTGTGCATTTGTTACGCCTCCTTCGTAGTGCACGTAGTAGAGGTGTTACAAATAAACATTTTATCCGCTAAACCCTAAACCCTAAACCCTTATTTTTTGTCTCTAATTTGCAAACCCTAAACACTCAGATTTTATATCATACAGTCTAAACAGCAAACCCTCAGACTGATTCCCTAAACCCTAAACCCTACTAAACCCTAAACCCTAATTCAAGTACTAGTTAACGGTATATTACTCGGGTGCTTCTTCCCTAAACCCTCGTGTCTAATAAGAGGGTTTATTGTTTTTGTGCTGTAATAAAGTAGAAGAAAAGAGAAAACACTAAACGCTAACCCTAAACCCTAAACCCTAAACCCTAAACCCTCAGACACAATAGGAGTAACATCTCCCCTTTTCTTCTTTGAACCCGTGGGGATGTTAAGGAAGGAGAAAAGTTAATTTTTTGTTTATTTTATTTATTTAATTAATTAAATTAATATAATTTAAATAAATAATTAAATAAACATTAAATAAATACAATAAATAAATTTATTTATAAGAAAAGACATTTGTTATCCTTAATTGGGGTGTACGTACACCTCAACAGGATAATGGTGATCTGCTTTCTCTCTCTATTAATAAGGAAAAAGGTGAATAAATAACTGTTTTGTATAAAATTACCTTTATTTATTATTTATTAATTAATATTTATCAATTTATTCAATAAAAAGAATTAATTAATTATTTATAAATATAATTATTTCCTTATATAGACATACAATATTTATATATGTATATCCTATCCCTGTGTGTGTGCAGCTGTGTACTATAAAAATGTTTATATGCATTGTATATTTGCGTGCTTTTTGTATGAAATAAAATAAAATGAATTAAATAAATAAATAAATATAAAAAGTGCATTCTTTAATGGATATTTAGGTGTACAGAAGCGAGAGAATAATACGTAATTAATTACACAGTGCTTCTGCGGTGTATGTGCAGCTACTGCGCCTGTTTACGACCTCTATATGTATATTGGGTCTAATTGTATGTCTTTATATGTTTTTTTCTTTTATTTATAAATAAAAAGATAAAAAACATTGAAAAAAGGATATTTTTAATAAAAAAATAATTATTTTTTATGTATTTATTGTTAAGAAATGGATATAAATACCGTTGCCCCCCCCACCCACCCACCATGG